GAATTTCATGATTATTTTATTGCACCGTGAATTAAGCACAATTAATTGCAGTCTTTCCAATAGATTTGTTGAGTTATATAATTTGTTTCACCTCTCGCGAAGCTCACTTTGCATGACACGGTGTTTTCTCTCTCGCACACAGACAAAAGCTGTTTCTCTTGTCCTATTACAAGTGACGGAGCATCTCTATTACCGAGAGCTATTTACAAGTCAATCTCACCAGGATCATATAACAATAATAAATATAACACAACACGCACAATCGACAAGTATACAAATAATACAGAAAATTCAATTTCACATTCAATATGATTTAATCAAGAGGAGCGTTTTTTGCAGAAAATAATGGCTTAATTAATTTTTTATTGTTGCATCAGTTTTGAGATGTCAGAAAAATTTTATTCATTGAGAGAACTGAATTTTTGAAAATTAACATTGTTTCCTTTGGGAATTTTCTAAAATAATTTCGCTTCAAAATTGATAAAAATTGAGATGGAAAAGTAAAATCAACAAAAACTTAACATTGATTTTATGGGAATAGGTCGAGAAGTTATAATTTTAGTTTTAATCTCATTTTTAAACAAAAATCCTGAATTATATTTTTTAATTTGCATGACAAATTGTCTGATTTCATGCATGGTTGACATTTTTTTATAACATAATTGGGGAAGAAACGAGACACTTTTGCCTGCTTTTTCCCTCCTCATTAACTTCCAAGATTGCAGCGAAATTTTCCTGTACGTGCGGCCAAGAAAGAGCTCATTACTCACATCAGATGGCTGAGCGAGATTAAGCTGGTATGACTGGGAAATAATAAGCATGCATGATTTCCAGGAATCTCGGACGAAAAATGCACTTTTCCCTGCAGAAAGATGCGTCCGAGCGAGCGAAGGAAGCCATTGTCTTTTGTGCAGCGAAAATCTCCTCTTCTTTATATTGAAATGGAAATTCATGATGGGTAGGCGTACAAGTCGGGTTTAATGAAACAAACACACGTCGTGCGCTGCTTTAAATTTCATTTGCCAATAGCCATTTACTTAATGGGAGGGGCCTAAGAGTACCTGTCGGTAATAATTCAATCACTGCCAGTGACAACTGTATATAAAATAAGTAAATGTAGCCAGCCGCGGCACACACACATGCATTTATTTATGTATCTCTCTCTTGGAGAAAAGGCAATACCAAAATAAAAAAAAGTGCTCAGGCGAAGAAAGAAGAGAGGATGAGAAAACTGATTTGCCTCTCGTTGTACCATAATGGAAAGAGGCAGCCCAAGAATGTAGATTGTTTGTTTATTTCCATCTGTCTTCAAATAAGTCAATTTAATTCAGGGCTGAGAATAGATTTCAAGTTGAAAATTGTAAAAGAGTAAAAAAAAATATAGATAATAATAAATCTGTACAAAGTAAAAATTAATTAAAGTCCAGAGCGCTTAAATTTCTCTAATTTTTAGAGGCAAAATTTATAACGCTAAACGTATTAAAGTAAATAATTATTATAACAAATCAAACTTTTTGTTTATTTGTTTTCATGAGATCATATTAAATATTATTTTAAATAATTCTTTATTTAATTTGGAAAGGACTATTTTACATCTTATTGTGAGTAGAATTCTTTGATTTGAATTAGGTTGAATTCAATTTTGTGATATTAATCCATTTTTTGTAATGAATTTTTGTATAAACTTTTATTATTCGTTTATTGTTCACAATATTTTTTAACTGAGTAATCCGTGATGCGGAGTTTTTATTGTGTTTCTTTGCGATTGCGTTTTACGGAATAACAACAGCCCACAGCTCTGGTCTGTTATTTGATATTTACTCTCCATAAACATCAGAGAAAACAAATGACCAGTGAGATGAATTTCTCCTAGTCTTCAAAGTTGTGCGTAGAATAAATATTTTTTTAATCTAAATCTAAATCCACTCGTCATTTTGCTTGAAAAAGTTGGCCTGGCTAAATTACACCGAGTAACCACCCCTTTGTTGAGCAAACCTAATTGCCGCCGTCCGTGTCTGTCCACCTGTTAAACGCACACCAGAGGTGACGTAATTTTTCTGCTCTCATTTTTTCCATCGCAAATGAAACTCACGCCACCGCCTTTTAAAGTGCAATTTCTGCGATTGCATTGTAAAATGAAGAGCGACACGCCCGTTTTTAGTTTTTACTCCTCAAAAGCCGGCTGTTTCCCTTCAATTCGGTGGCACAAGCTATATTATTATTTTGAGCGGAGAGTTTGTGACGTTGATTTAATTAAGCGAATGTCAGCGGCATCGAGAGACGAAACGCCGGAGAAAGAAAGTTTCTCACTGAGTGAGAGCATAACTTTGTGTTTTGTTTGCGGAACACGCGAGATGTCACCGAGAAGATTAATTAATTTGATATCGAGCGCGAATTGACTGCTGCCTGCTACTTTTCACAATTGGTTTAATGACGATGCTGAGTGAGAAACGGATCGGTGGTGGAAAAAAAAATTAATAAAATGCAAGCACTTGTTTGCAACAAATTAACTGCATTTCTCCCTGCAAACAGTGCAAACAGTGACGTTTCTTACTCGAGTATTACTTTTAATTTACTTAATAAAATATTTATTTTAATCCATAAAAGATTTAATACTAAAATTTAATTCAGGAGACGATTTTGCTAAAAAAACCTATTAATTTTGATTTTAAATATCAAAAGCTCCTTGTTAATTTGCCTAAAGAAAGTTTATTAAAGTTATTGATTTTTAATTAAATAATAATATATTTTTAATTCAATTTACTAACCATCTCTCTCATCTCGGCGGAAGAAGATTTTTTCCGACTCATCTTCTCTCTTTAAAATGACTCGCAGCCAAGTTTGACTGCTGCAGGCGGAGAATTTATATAAGGGAGGAATTTTCTTTTTCTGCTGGATGGTGCGATGATGACGAGCCAGAGAGTTGGTTGAGCCTGCGGATGATTTTCTTGAAATACGACTGTCATGTCTTCATCACATCCAGCTCACGTTATTCAACTGTCACTCACAAAGTATAACAATACATTTGTCAGTCTATATTTAAACGGGGCGGGCATCAAGACGAGCTGCATGAGAGAGACGCGCCGCCGCCAGTGCTTTCCTCTTGAGAGAGAAGAAACTGCAAACTGTACAGGACGTAAACAGCCCTTTGAACTATATGGGAACAAGCTTAATTGGATCAATCAAAGATATACATGAAGCAGGGAAAAATTAAAAAAAAAACCAACTTCTGTATTATTCTAAAATGCAAAAATGATGAAAATTTTTTCAGAAAAAAATCATGAATTTTTCTTGTAATGCAACTTGCTCTACCCTAAATTTAGTAACTTTCAAATCTACAGGGGATGTTTTTACCCCTTGTTATTAAACATTCCTTTAATTTATTAATCATTCGAATTATTTGAAATAATTTACAAAAAGAACTGCAACGTTTGATGGAGTTTTTCTTGTGAAATTAAATAAATGTAATATTCTTGATCAACGTGAAAATCTTATCAAAAGCCTCATTGCTGTCCGCCTATTCTGAGAAATCGCTTTTAAGCAGCTTTGTCATTTTTGTTTTCCGCAGCAGTTCGAGATAACCGCGCACAGGAATCTGTCGGCCAATTAAATTTCCGTGCTGGAAAAGAAAGGAATTCCGTAAATCAATTTGCAAATTCAATTATGTACGGCGCGCTCTGAAAAGGAAATTTTTAAACGAGCACAAAGAAGACGAAGTGCATCTTTTCTCTTCTCTTAAAGAGGCATCAGGCATTTAAATTTATGGAGAGTAGATATTTAAAGCAGATAAAGACATATATATTTATCTCCTTATTTGCGCGAATAAATTTCAAAAGTGGGTCCTGCTGGTGGCATTATGGTTTTATATTGTTGCCGTCTGACGAGCATACTAAACTGCTGTTGTGGTACAAAAAAAGACTGCTGGCGAATATTAAAAAAAAATACGAGTCTTTTTGGGATTTTCGGCCGATGCAAAAAGCGTATATAGAGATAGTGGCACCAGCCAGAGTAGCAAGCAGAGCGACGAGAATAAAATCTACCAGCAGATTGACATCGGACATAAATACATCAGAGAGAGACAATGGCTGATAAATCAGAGCCAGCACAGCGAGCACCGAGAGAGAAAGAGAGAGAGAAATAAAAAAAAAAATATATGGCCGAACAGAGAAGCTGCAAATCTCCTTCTGTGCAGCTCCGGAATAGCTGCCGGAACCAAATTCAAAGAAAAAAGAAAATGAAAATCCAAGGAGTTTTTAATTAGTGGTTGATCCGAGAAGTAAGAAAACGGTGTCGGCGAAGAAGTGACTCTCGAGTATTCTTTTCAACCTCTCCAGACTGGCGTGATCGCCAAGAGAGCAAATTAATTCAATCAATATGCTGGGAGAGAGAAAGAAAAAAGTAAAAGAAGAGGAGTTGCACGAACTTGTCCTTGCATACAGTTACAAAGATTCAGTGGAAAATAATCAGATTTCAAAAAAAAAAACGATTTTGTTAATTTCTGCAAAATTATTTAAAATAAGAATTTGACAAACAATTATATTGTCTCGAACTTAATTTAAAAATTTCATTCCTGAACAATTATCAGTTCATCTGGATTTATTTCATTGCATTCAAAAATTAAAATAATTATGGAATTCCGCGGTTTTTCAATGCTTAGTAATTTTAATAGTTCTTTCATATCTTTATTTTAGTTAGATTCCAGAGATTTAAAATACTCAACAAAATTAAATCATAATTTATTTTGCCAAAAAAATTTAAATAAAAATTATAAATTTCTTGTTAATAGCCATTTTAATTAATTTGATCATTGAAGGACTTTAAAAGTAAAATAAAAGCTCAATATCATCTATTATTATTTATTTTTTTGCATTTTATTGTTGAAAAGAAATTTACTTAAAAAAGGAATTGTTGGAAAAAACGGCACCACCACTAACAATAAGCAATAATTTTACTTTTGAAGAATTTTTTAATTAATTTGTTGTTAATTTTTGTGTTCACAGGGGAAGGCGGTGTGGAAATCCCATGCACGGAGCAGGACGAAGGCGGCGAGTCGAGCGACGGCGAAAACTCGGTGGGCTCCGGGGCGGGCAGTGCGTCCGTGGCGGGCGACAACCCTTGCGAAGACGCCCTGGGCCGCAAGTCGATCAGCCCTCCGGCCAAGCTGAGCGTCGTCTCGCCCGAGCTCCTCATGCAGAGGTGAATTAGCTAATTGTACTTGTAAGAATGAGCGAAATCTCGGAGGAGCGATCTCTGTGTTGCAGACACGCCCTGAGAGAAAGACGCTTCCTCTCTTTTTTCGCGCTGCAAAGACACGCTTTTGCTGCTGATTTACTGCCTGATTAGTCGCTGCTCGCCGAGTAAAATGCAAATCTGGAGACGCGCGGTGTCAATTCCACCCTCGGGCTTTTCGTTTTAATTGAAGCAGGCCAACGCTGAAATCCATCGCAATGATTGTACGCGCTGATTTGCGAGTTTCGAACAGAACGGGACGTCAAGACATGTCTGCATTTTTAATTGTCTCCTTCAAGCAAGGTTTAGCAAAATTTTAAAATAACTGTGGGAAAATGATAAAAATACTAAAAAAATATTGGCAGCAATAAATAATTAAATTCTGATAAAAGTAATTTTTCCTCTATAAATTTTTTAGTCAACTCCAGGAAGACTTTACAGAAAATATTATTTTTAAATTCCGGTTAAATTAATTAATATTCAATTTTAATTCAATTTGATTTTATCTGTTTTATTAGAAATAAAGTCTCCTAACTTTTTATATTTCTCCTGTTTTTTTACCTGTGATTTTAAATCTTTTGTTTACTTCAATGTATATATATTTTCATCCCCCTCCTCCTCCCTCTTTAGAATTAATCCGCGCCTTTGAATATCTGAATATTTCTACCCCGTTTGATTCATGCAAATTGCGCGGATTAATTTCCGAACAAATAGCAGCACATTTACAAAAGATCCCTCTCTTGCCGGCAATAACAAACACGTGCGCTTTATTCATTCGATGATGGAAATTCGGCGGAATTATTTGGAATATGATAATCTGCTCGCGCTGCAAAAGTCCCCTCTTTTTGCAGTTGTGTTATTTATGCGCAATTAAAACGCACCGCGTCTCTAATACATCCTCGGAGGAGAGCGAGAGAGAGAGAGATGAGTCAGTCATATACGCGTTGGCAATAAACGTCGCGCGGGCCGTGATATATTGCCTCGTGTATCTTAATAAATACCGCAAAATCTGCGCCCATAAAGCGCGCATTTTTTAACAAAAGTGCGTCCGGCAAGCCGGCCTGATGAGATAAAAGGGTTTGCCTCCGCGCAGGGGGACTCCGCGGCGGATTAAAAGATTGAAAAAGTTGTGCCGCGAGATACTCGATCGGAATTCGACGTTCATGTGCCCTTGGCAACACCAATCCTGTTAAATTTCACATCAATGGCTTCATTTGCATAAATTTATTTTTATTAAAATTAATTTCAATAAAAATGAGCATAGAAATTATAAAAAAATATAATATATATTCAAAAAGAAATAAATAATCCTTTATTAATTTCTTTATTCAATTTTTGCATTTTTTTTTTAAAATTAATTAGTGATAAATAAATGTAATGAAAATAGTGTAGGAAAAGTTAAAAAAAAAGAATAAAATTCTTTAAAAAAAAATGTTATAATCAAAAGATATTTTGTAGTTTTTATCTTACAAATGAATTGTTTCTCTGGTAAATTTTGAAAATTTTGAAAATCGAGAAATTTTCATCCCCTTGACCATGTCGAACTTGGCCCCGGTGGCGGTTTCCCCCGCGCATAGTTGGTCGGCGTGCTCACGGCGGCGCTCCGACTCTTTCTGCTCGGGCGTTCGCCGGCACAGCATCCAGCAGCACCAGGAGGAGACGAGCGAGTGAGAGACGTTGGGGTTGGAAGGGGGAGGGTTGATATTTACTGCCCCCTAGTAGCCATTATCGTAAATCAACACCAACATTCATTCTCTCCGACCCCCCCGCACACCCTCCTCTTGCTTCAGCAAAACCTCCCTCTTTTCTAAAAACCTCCACCACACCCTCCCTGACTAGCTGGCTCTCTCCTCGGTGCGCGCCCTCGCTTGCTTATAAGATCCAAATTATACACACGCACTCGCACCACCGCCGCGCTTTTTCCCATTTTTTCTTCGACCTCCTCTTGTCTTTTTCGCATCACAATTTCATCTCGCCGGCAAATTGCACACGGACGGATTAAATTTCTCGAGATGCGCCTCGTTTGACGAACCCTCCACTTCTCCCTCTAGAGGAATTTCGCATGTTTTAAGGAATTATATTTGAAAAATAAATTAAATTTATGCAAATCAATAAATTATGAAATTAAATTTTGGTGCATTAAAAATTTCAAAAATTAATAAATTTGTTAATTCTTTCCTTTTTCGTTGCAAATATTTTTTGTAATTCTTAACAACAAATTCAAATTATCCAATATTTTACGAATACAATTAACTTGATTTATTTTTATGCAAATGTCCTCGAAATAAATGTGCCAATTAATGGAATTTTTCCTCCGTTTCGTGAAAAAACTTGACAACCATTGCCAAAGAATCTTCACTCATTTCATTATTGAATATCGTTTGTCAAAAGAGGCTCACCGCAGGTGCTAAGGTGTGTCGGAAAAATGGACAGGACGCTGCAATAATTAATAGCGAAGACAGGCGGCCACATGGCCTCGATTTGTGTAATATAACATTCGGCACCCAACTGCCGCCGAATAACTTTCCAATTAAAATTTATCGCCGTCCGAAATGATAAATATAAAACAGCAGGCCACATCTCGTATCGACAAAATTTACACCCGATGCGGTCGCAATATGTACACTTTCACGAGAGCGACAGAGATAGAGACAGATATGGCAAAAAAAAATACACAACGGGATAAATCAAAAGCTGTGGCGTTTTAAAAGTAACTCGCGCAGTCGTTAATGAATGCGCGAGAATTTATCGATACGCGCGTGCTCATTTTCATTGGAATTATTATTATTGCTATTCGCTCAGGTCACCGGTGCTAAGTGTGAATTAAAACAATTTCGAAATCGCGTATATCTTGGCCGAGCAATAAAATACATTAGAGTCGTTGGAGTGGCCGCCCTGCTTTATCTCTCACTCCGGTGTGTGTTGTTGCAGCAGCAGGTATTTTGCATCCGGATTTATTGCTGCCGACCGCTTGCCGGCTGCTGCATTCAATTATCAGTGGCCGCACTGATGGAAATTTAGGACTTGGCCTCACTTTATGAGATGACTGTCTTCCGATTAATGGCCCGCCCGTAAACCTCCGGCCGCGCTCGGCAATTATCAATTCTCGCCTCGACAAACACACAACTTATCCGAAAATTACTTACAAACAGGCAAATAATGCAGAAGATATTAATTACAATCCTTTGGTGATAGCATTGTTCGTAAAACTTTATATAAATTTATTTTAATTTTTAAATCACCTTAAAACTAAAGAAAAGATTTATTTCAATTTTTATTAAATTACAATAAAAGTAAAAATAAAACTATATTATTTAATAACAAATTACTAAAAATAAATCTTTTTTAATTATTAACCCAATTTTCCCTCTTCTGTTGCAGCCCTCGATGTGAATCCCGAGATCTGTCATCCTCGGTGGGCCGATCGGTATCCAGAAGCTCTTCAGAAGCCATGGACACCACCCCAGGTATGAAGCGCCACCTGGACAGCGAAGACGAAAACGTTCCAATCGAGGAAGGAATCTTGGACTTCAGCAAAAAGAAGCACCGGGGCAGCGCCGCCGACAGCGAGTGCCTCAACCTAAGCAAGGGATCTCACGCGACACCGTCACCATCTCCGAGTGCGGAGCCGCTCAACGGCCCTCTGGACTTGTCCTGTTCGCGAAAAAGAAACGCCCAGCCCACCTCGCAGGACACCAAAGTGGTCAAGCAGCAGCGGACGGAATTTCCCAAGAACAGTTGGACGCCGGCAAACTTCCCGTTCGGCTTCAACAGCAAACTGGGCAAGCGGGCTGAGGAGGAGGAGTGGAACGGCAAGAGTCCGATGAGCGTGAAGAAGTTCACCGAAACCAGCAAGTCGCTGAACGAGCTGTCGAAACTGGGCGAGGACATGTTCAGAAATCAACTTCCTCCGCGGCAAACGGCCTGGCAGAGTCACTGGGTCAACAAAGGCAGCATCGATAAGAACAAGGAGGTCTTCAAGTGCGTCTGGTGCAAAAGTTCTTTCCACACTTTGGCTCAGCTGACGACGCACATGAAGGAGACTTCCCACTGCAACAGCAACGCTCCACCTTCCTCTCAGGGTTCCTCCGCGAAGAGCAACTCGGACCTGAACCTGTTGATCAAAGAAACGATGCCCCTGCCGCGAAAGTTGGTCAGAGGCCAGGACGTGTGGTTGGGCAAGGGCGCCGAGCAGACCCGGCAGATCCTCAAGTGCATGTGGTGCGGCCAGAGTTTCCGGAGCCTGGCGGAAATGACGTCGCACATGCAGCAGACCCAGCACTACACCAACATCATTTCCCAGGAGCAGATCATCTCGTGGAAGTCTGCCGAGGAAAATCCTTCCGCTGGTTCCAAAGCCACCAGCAGCACCAGTGGAGGCGCCGGCGGAGCAGCCTCGGGAGGAGGGCCTGCGACCACCCCCACGCCACCCCCGAGCACGCAGCAGTCGCACGTGACGGCCGTGCTCACCTGCAAGGTTTGTGATCAAGCGTTTTCCAGTCTCAAGGACCTGAGCGCCCACATGGTCAAGAATTCGCACTACAAGGAGCACATCATGCGCTCAATCACGGAGTCGGGCGGGCGGCGCCGCCAGAATCGGGAGAAACGCAAAAAGTCGCTTCCGGTTCGAAAGCTGCTCGAGCTGGAACGAGCGCAGCACGAAATCAACGTTTCGGCCAAGAACGGCTCAGAGTCGATCAAGAAACTGGCCACCTCTTCCAAGATCTCCTGCGAAAAATGTGGCGAGAAAATCGATACCTCAATATTCGTAGAACATATCCGCCTGTGCGTGGGCAACGCTAGGAACCTGCTCAAGTCTGCATTGCTCTCCAACGAAACGACGCCCGAGAGGGAGGTGCCCTCGGACAGCAAGAGCGGCAAGGAGCAGGCGTCGCCCGAAGCCTCAACGGGCAACTCTACCTCACCGTCGGTGCTGAACGCCATCGAGAAGCTGATCGAAAAGAGTTTCGACTCCAGAGGTCGGCAGAACTTTCACCATTCCTCCATGCCCAACCCGAACCTCGGCTCGAGCATTCTCAAGAGGCTGGGCATCGACGAGAGTGCAGACTACACCAAGCCCCTGGTAGACTCGGCCAGTCTCAACCTGCTGAGGAACTACCCCACCTCGCAACTGCTCAGGCCGCGAGAACGCAGCGGCAGCGAGTCCAGCTCGCGGTCGCGTTCGCAAACGCCAGACCGGAAGTCCACATCTCAAGTCACCCCTCTTCCGGCCACCATTGACGAAAACTCGCAACCCAAAGCGGCAGCGTCCCCCACCTCTCCCAAGTCGGACCCGAAAAGTCCCTTAAGTCCTGTCAAGGAGGAAAAGCAGGAGTTTTCTGACGAGGAAAAGCTGCTGGAGAAATCGGCCAAATCGTTGTCGTCGCCAAAAAACGTGCGACGAACCCCCAGTCCGGCCGGAAGCGAAAGGTCCGAGGCGAATGAGCGTGACAGTGAGCGCAGCACTCCCAAGTCTGACAGTGCCAAGTCGCTGAACGCCCTGTCCAACATGTACGACAGCCTCTCGGGCAAGTCTTCTTCCGCCGAGAATGGGGGTGCGTCCGGAAAGAACCCCTCGAGCCACCCGTTGGCGGCGCTGCAGAAGTTGTGCGACTACACGGATCGCACCTCGGCCACCTCGAGCCAATCCTCGTCCCCGTTGGCGGTGACCAACCCCGGCGCCATCTTGGCCTTCACGTGGGCCTGCAACGACGCCGTGGTCGGCGGCAACGCCGACTCGGCGCTCATCAAGTGCGCCTTCTGCGACACGCCGTTCATCTCCAAGGGCGCCTACCGCCACCACCTGTCCAAGATGCACTTCGTCAAGGACGGCAACCTGTCGGCCGAGAACCACTCCAAGAGCAACAAGAAGACGCCGTCGCCGCCCGTCGCCAGTACAAGCTCCGAATCCAATTCGGCGCGCAAAACGCCTCCGAACAACAACGACGCCGGCTCGTCTTCCGGTGCCGCCGCCGCCGGCAGCTCGTCAGCCGCCGAGGAGTCGCCGCACTCAAAATTCCTCAAGTATACCGAACTCGCTAAGCAATTATCCAGCAAGTACGTCTGAATTCTGTTTCCCCTCCTTTAATTAATCTCACCAAGAGAGAAATTAAAATAAAATAGCGAAATACGGCGAGAGTTATTTCAAAACCAAAAGTAGCACCGAAGAATAAATAATTATTATCCTTTGGAATTTTTTATTATTGTTTTTATTAAACACAAATTTTTACAACGTCATGTATAGCTGGTTGAAATCAACAATAGAACTAAATTTAAAAATATTTAAATATTTATATGGATACAGATAAAACTTAGATGGTATTTAAATTTAGTTATATTGTTAATTTCAACCAGCAATACATGACATTGCAAACATTTGTATTTAATAAAGACAGTAATAATTTGGAATTTTCTAGAAATTTAAAAGTTCTTAACGTTTTCTGACAGTCCTTAGGTGATATGGAACCCAAATCGACAATTTTTCAGCAGGAGCATCTTAACTTTTGTAGAAAGATTTCACTTGTCAATTTCAGTGTGAAATTCATGCATTTGTTGGAATAATTTCACCTAGCCTTAAAATGTTATGAATTAAGGACTTTTGAATTTCTTTGAAACATTTTCAAGAAATAAAAATAAAAATTTATTTAAATTTTAATACTCGGTGCTAAATTTGGTTTTGAATCGCTCTTGAAATCAAAGAAAGCTGAGTGCCATTTTACATACATGAAACTTCTCGACACATCCCATCGATTCAGACTGGTGATTACGTGTCTTTGTGCTAGACCTGATACGAAAACTTGTATACTAATAGAGAAACAACCGATTTCTGGATAGCAGTTTACTCTGATTACTAAAATAAATAAGAAAAGAAAAATGTTGACACCTCTTCTTATATTCGAGCGTTGATTAAAATTAATTGTTTTCCGAAACATATGTAAAGAGCGGTCAGTCGTGCGACTTGATATTCTTTTTCTAAAGCCTTTTTGGAAAATATATAATTACGAAATAATCAACGGACACAATACCCCAAGTATACGGCATTCGATCGCAATGCAAGTCGCACCTCGACATACTGCGCTGATATACGATTCAAGTGGCCATACCGACTTAAAATATACACACACACGCTATAGAGAGTAAAATTAAAAAGCAAAAGATATTAAATAGTCAAGCAGTTAGTGTAACAAAAGTATATTTCTACTGCTTAAATTTTAATTTTTCGCTATTGTGTAAATATTCAAGAGAAGGAAGCGTGGCAGATGGTTCGTGCGTATAAAAAAGTAATATTTAATAATTGCTCACTGTCCTCTCCATCCTGTTATCTGACGAGACAAGCAAACAAAAAATAAATCGCATCCCCCATGTTATTATAAAACGCAAATTCAGAAAACAACTCCGGGCCGACCATCTCGTTTCGGAGAGACATGCGCGAATATATTATAATGCAAAAAAACAAAAGAAGAAGAAAACTTTGTATACCTCTTGAAAGTACGTAAACTGAAAATGCTCATTTACATTAAAAAAATTACTGTACGGAAGTGAAGCAACTTCCTCGATTTGAAATTTCCTTCTCGCAAAAATTAGAACATTAATCGCATCTCAATAAAACAAAATAAAAAATGAAAGTAGAAACGCATCACACAAACAAACACTCAAATCGAAAGAGAGAGAAAAAGAGGAGATTTTCATGACTATATATTGATTTTCATAAAATAATGTTTTCATATCTCAATTTACTCGAATATCTTCCATAATGTTAAGAGTATTTGAAAATCAAAAAGCACAAACAAACACACTCACTATTCATTGTTCATTGAAATTTATTTTTGCCATCGTGTAGCGAAAAAATGAAGAATTCTTGTTAAAGGTAAAAATAAAAACATTGGGGATAAATCCAAGTTAATTATACAAAACAAAAAATTATATTCAAACTCGAATGAAAGGTACAAGATACAAAATCCACCTTAATTGTTATTTAAATATTTTCCTGCTTTTTATTTTGTATTTTCTGTTTATTATAAAACTTGGCGGACGATATTACAATTAAACGAAAAAATTCCTTGGGAATTTAAGTGATTTTAATTATTTATCCCGTGATTTTGTACAGAAATAATGATTAAAGTTCGTGCAAACAAAGAGTCTCCCGCAGTCAAGGCATAACAAACAATTAAAAATCGACTGCCCATTCTGCAATTGTCTCTCAACTACAAAGGAGACTCTTTAAAATAAGTGCTCAAATTATAAAGACTTTGCTTTCTGTAAATTAACTTAATTAAATTATTATTATATGATTGCAACGAGACGGAGGAATTAATTCCTCTGGTCATTGATTGTTGTGTATAAAAGGACGTCGAAAAATTATATAAGACATAATTTTGTTGCATTTTTCCCCTGCTGAATGACACGATAGGTGCGTTGTATTATTATAATTACGATGAGATAGGAGAGACGAGTGTTGAATGGAAAAAAACACGCGCGCATTTCTGTCGGGATCTTTACGGAAAGATGAAAAGCAATTGCCAATATAATACAGTGAGAGATACGATTTGACGACATGAAAATGTTTTTAAAAAATCTATGTGTAATTATAAATAAAAACATCTGAAAAATGGATCAATATTTTGATTTTTCCTTTAAGAAAAAAAAATACCAAACCTGATATAATTAAGAGATGAAATTAGTTTTAACTTGTTACATGACATTGATTAAATTGACGTTTCTTTAATTAAATTTAAATGTATTTAAATTACCTAATTTTGTAAATTTCTAAAGTTTAATGGCATCAAGCAAATTTAAATGAAATAATTTGATTTAATTTAAATCAATAATTTATAAAAAGTTCAGATTGGAATTAAAAAATTTAATTTGGTTTGTATTGTCTTCTGCTGCAGAGGCTAACTCGGAAGGTGTTTGGAGTTTAGGTTTGGCCTTCCAGCTGATCCTTCTTCTTTTTTTTATCTCTTTTCTTTATTAACGAAGAGAGAATTATTTGGCAAATTAATCGCGGTGGCGGCCGTCGGGAGTCTCATTTCCGCGAGGTCGATCGTTTCTCTCCGTCAGCAGCGGCGCGGCCAAAAAAGGTAGGACGCGATCCGTCGGCCCGTCCGATCTACAAATAAATAGCGTCTCGGCAGAAATTCTGGCTCGTCGGTCGGCGACATCTGTCCGTCTATCCATCAAGAGTTGATGTGTACCCTGATGTACAGCAGTTGAGCCCGAGATGTGATGGCACCATGAAGAGCAGCTGCGACACTTATAAATCTCTCTGGTAGACGATAAATTTCACTTGTCTCCTTGTCTTTTATATAACAGAGCAAAATAAAAGCGGGCCCGACGAAAAAGAGAGAGAGAGAGAGAGAAAAGACGGCCCCCATCAACTCATCTCCGCTCACTCTGCCATGTTGCTATTTGTGAGTTGTGAATAACGCGCGTCCGAGCACATTCACATATTTTATTATTTGCGCTTTCTTCTGCGGCCGCTCATCATCATTTTTATCGGCCGTGTCCATTTCTGCGGCACGACAAATGAGACGCGAATTTATTGGCACTTTGATGCACCCATCTTTCAGCTGACGGACGTTTTCGATTTTCTCCTCCGGATCTGCTATTTCGGAATGGACGGCTGGTGTTGAAGAGCGCGGACGTAAAAAGTCTAATCAACCCTTTCACTGCAATAAAGTAGAAAAGTGATTGCAATTTTTTCAAACCAGATTAGTTTGCATTTGAAGAATATCCCTATTTTGAATCAGAAAAATTAATCATGATAATATCAAAATCTAGAAAAGGAAATTTTTATTTTAAATTATCTGTAGAACTTAATAAAAGAAATTTGGAAATATCAAGTTTGTTTCTTTTTAATAATTTAAACTTTATCTTCATTTAGTTGTTTGATATTAAAATGATAAAATCATAATGTTCATCACAGCTTCTTTAAATAATAAACAATTTGAATATAAATTTAACAACTTTAATTAAAAAATCAACAAGAGCAAATATTCAAAAAAATTTAATACAAAAAAAAATTTGTAACATTAAATTTTATAAAATTCTTGAGCTTCAATTATGCATTTAAAACAACAAAAGGGCAATTATTTGTCAATAAAACCATAAAAATAAGTATTTAAATAAATTTTAGTCTTTTTATCTCGCAAATATGAATTATATAAACCTGGAGTAATTTGGTAATTGTCCTTTTGCGCGTCCATATTTGAGATTTACGACCACTTGGTTTGCGACAGCTGGAGAGTGGAGCTCATCAAACGATTGTTTTTGATGAGTATTGATGTTCTCGTGGCTGTCATTAACCTTGTTTTTCAGCCCTCGTAGGCTGGCGGCGGCTGCTTGCTCTCTCATGGTTCAGCTCTCGTCGCCGACGTCGTTCACCGCTGATGAACGCCTGTCAACTGCTCAAAAATATTGTTTCCTGCCGATGGGTTAAATTAATTAAGCCTCGTCGTTAATCACAATTACAGCAGCGGCTGGGGTCTCCGAAAAAACATGGACCTGAAATTTGCATAATATTGAATTTTAACAGTTTAATTGCATAAGTTATTAATTAAAGTAATAAAAAAATTCAATCTTTTTCCTCTATTTTACTATAAAACTGTTAAAATTGTAATAAAAGGATGTTTAATTTAATTTTTTAAATCATCAACTTTTACATATTTTATATTTTTCTCCGGTACAATCGGCGGCTTAAATTGAGTCTTCGCAGAAGCGGGGCTGATTTTTCCCCGGGGCTGCTCTTCATCGTTTGACGACCGCCTGAGTGACAAATGGGAAGATGAAAATACACAGCCCAGTCTAGCTCCACGCGGCTCAGCCATCAACACAAGGCTGCCCCGTTGACGGATTTATTGAACTTTTATACAGCCAGTCAAGTTTCGAAATTTGTTTATTTTCCTGATGAAGGTGTGTTGGTGCGAAGAGAAGAAGCTGTGTGTTTCCAGTTTTCTCGCTCTTCGTCACGCGCCCCCTTCAGAAAAGCGCTCGAAATTATAGACAGACGGAGTGATCGAGTGCTTGCTCAACAATAAACCACACGACACCTCAGCACGCAACCATCTCCAACAACTTTAATAATAAACAAACAGGTGATGCGATGCGTAAGCGTCTTTAATTTGAAAGCTCTGCTCCATTATTCAATAAATCAATGAAAAGTGTCAGTTACTTTTGAATTTTGTTGTTAATAAATATCTTAACAAATAAGTTTGCTAAAGGCATGAAATTTTAATTTTGTTCAAATACTTTTTAATTATTTAATATTTTTTAAACTTATTAATTAAAATATGAATTGCTATATTTTGTTGTTTTTTTTTTAAATTAAAATAAAAATCTAGCTGATATTAGACATGACAAGATGGTAAAACTTTTGAAATAAAACTGTTTGAGGCAAAATTCAATATGGACAATTTTAATTAACTATATATAAATAAAAGATAATACAGGAATTTTGATGTAACTATTATTGAGCTATTTTATCATTATATTTTGATTTAAAATTAAAAGTTAATATTCTAGATATTATGTGCACAAATAACCTTTTAATTAATTATTAATTGAAGCAATTATTAGGCTCTTCAAAATTTTAAAGTAACTAAAATATTAT